GCTAAATGGAAGGAGACATCTGTATGTCTTAACGTCTGCATGACACCCTGTCCTCCTGTTGGTGTCCCTTTTACCTCCGCAGCTGTCACAGTGACTGGTGGAACACACCCTCACAGGGCCCCTTCCATGCACTACTTGAAAGGAAAACCTGCCATTCCTTTAGGTGCTCAGCATGTGAACCCTTTATTTGTTATGAGAAACTCCCTCTTATGGGGGACAGAGCCCCACTCCTACCTTTGGTGATGAGACCGTCAGACACATACTTCTTGTCTCACTGGCATTGCGTGTGTGACATGGTTCTGCCAGGCTGGTATGGGATGGAGACTGAGTGACAGGAAAAGACGCGAGCCTTCCAGAACCTACTCTGGTGAGGGCAGCATTGCAGTATCAGATTCCATGTAGGAACAGCAAGGTTCTCACAAATGTTCTGGGGGGTGGGGAAGTGGGGAGGCGACCCTGGTGTCCTCAAGGGGGTAACATTGGCTATTATTTTTGGCTGCATCCCCTTCAAGTCTAGTCTAATATTTCTAAGGTTCAGTGAACTGCACTGCATACCACCCCTTCAGCCAGTCAACCAACCAACCAACCAACCAACCAACCAACCAACCAACCAACCAACCAAATGAATCAATGAATCCTCTCTATCCTTAAATCAGCTAACTTCAGTTTCTGTTGCTTGCATCCCCAGCACAGGGCTTGACGCAACTCTTTCCATTTGGTGCTCAGACCTCAAATTGTCCTTGCTGATGGTGTCTCTTAGACATCTTTGAGCACAAAGGCTTAAAGCTATTCTACCTTATGGTTCCCTAAATAGGGGTATGCTGAAATGCGTCAGAGTTTTTGGCTCAGAAAATATGACCATGGGTGCTGATGACACCCATGCTTGCAATACTTTTAAGGTACCTGTTGGCTGGGATCCTCCATGTGGGAGGATGGCCCAGACAGTGCCACCTGACATTTGTCTTGGGTCAAAGTCATCAGGGCTGCCTGAGGCCACTCCCATGTCGCCATCATAATACCCACCTGTGATCCCACCTTACTCCTACTCTGGGACTTGGAGCTCCTTGCGTCCTTGCCACCTTGACCCGTCTGTCTGGTTCCATGTTGGGATGTGTGTTATCATCCTCCTTCCCCACACCTTCTCATGCAGACTGCTGTTGCTGGCACCTGGCACCGACCTACTCTTGCCACTGCTGGCCTGGCACTGAGGGACACTGCCTGTCTCGGGTCTACCTTTGCCATGACCTAGGGCTTAGCACGAACCCCCCAGATGTGGAGTATTTGGGGGATGTTCTATCTCTTCTCCCCCCACTTTCAGGGCTTTTTCTTCTGTAGATAGCTTTTCATAGGTGTTAGACCCACTTCTGGTTATTATTTCCTAAACTGGGTCAAGTGTAATCCTGTGCTTTCAGGCAGCCTGGACACATGGGCGAGTGGGGACGGTTCATTCATCCTCAGTGCTTCAGCTCCTGTGGGCCCAGCCTGCCTGGGCCTGCTCTTTTGTCCATTCCAGGTCTCAGTATTCACTCTTTCCCTGCAGGCGCTTTGGCTGTGTCTGTGGAGTCAGTCCTCACACCACCTGCGGGTTCTGTCCCCAGGGCACAGATTGGTTGTCAGGAATGGTTGCTGCTCTGGAAATCTGGCTGCCACAGAATCATGCAGTGTGTTTGGTCCATCTTGGCACAACTTGGTGGCCTGGGTCACATGGAGGCTTGGGCAGTGGCAGTCACATCCACCAGCTCTCCTTTGACTTTTGCCTTTCTGGAGAGTCTGGAAAGGGACTTACCTGGTCCCAGGTCCCCTGAAGATGGACTTCGGCTGCAGGCCCTGCACCTGAGCGCTTGGTAGAATGAATCGGTGAGTTGGCAAATAAAGGTGCGTGTCCTAGGCCTCGGGGAGTGGCCTCAGCCTCCCTAGCTACCTGGCCTCATCATTTCTTTCTTTTTTTTTTTTTTTTTTTTGGTTTTGTGGAACCGGGGATTGAACCCAGGCCCTTGCACTTGCCAGGGAAGAGCTTATTCTACTGAGCCATCTCCCGGCCCCTGGCCTCATCATTTCTTCTTAGGGAAAATGAGTACTTTGCCCATATACTTCACTTGCCACCTTTATCAAACTGCCTCATAGGTTCTTTGTGCTTTTTTTCCCCCTACTTTTTTGTTTTTAAAAATAGGGTCTTACTAAGTCATTAAGTTGCCCAGGCTGGGTTTGAACTTGCAATCCTCCTGCTCAGCTCCCTGGAGTGCTAGAATAATAGGCATATGCTACTAAGCCCAGATTCATAGGTTTTAGGATGAATTTTCTTTTAAGTTGTTAAGACAAAATGAATTTTAGTTATTATTATCTTCATCAAACTCCATAGGCATTTTACATTCATTTTTTCATATACTAAATCCATCAACTACTAAAAAATAAATGAAAATAAATCCACCAACCACTGACACCTTGCTTGAGGCTGCAGTCAGACTCAGTTACATGACTGAGCTATGATCAGAGAAAAAAAAGTACGAGGCTTTGACCTTTCTTCTTGCCTTCGTTTATGATCCACACTTCTGTCTTGACTTAGAGAGGATCTGCAAACATGGATGGGAAAATATGGCTTTGTTTTTCAGATGTCTAATTGACGTTTAGCATTCCCTTCAATTACAAAGATAAATTACAGTAGGCCCAGCATATCTGAGGCTTAACAGGCGAAATCACATATAATTTTAATTTATGTATTTGGTACAAGGTTTTGCTATGGTGCTTGTACATGTAGTGATCCTCCTGTCTCAGCCTCCCCAGCGCAGGGATTACAGGCCTGTGCCACCACTCCTGGTTTCAGTGGCTGGCTTGGTGGGCCCAAGCAGGGCTGGCACAGCATGTGGTACTGAGATCGAACCTGGTCCTTGCACTTGCCAGGCAGGTGCTTAGACCACTGAGCTATATCCCTGGCCCTGAAATCACAGATATTTTAGTGTCATATTGGTGTTACTGAAAATATCTCAAAATGCCATTTGTACTCACCAATACTTTGAGATGACTGCGGTTAGTTAGCTCTGTGGCCAGTTCCTGTTACCTGCTGCATCAGGAAGATATGTAAATATCTTATATGCTTATTTAAAAAACTAGTTTAATGTCATTGGTTTCCTTTTGTAATCCTATGCCTTTTATTTCTTGCCTTTAAAAACTTTCTGAGAAGTGGATCTGCAGTGTGTTTCAGTTACCTAGGAGGCTGGGTCAGGAGGGTCCCTCAAGTCCAGGAGGTGGAGGCCGGCCATAGCTAACAAAAGAAACACAATTTTGGGAAGTGGTCCAGAGTCCTTTCCAGCCTGCTACAGTGATCCACCACACACGAGGCCGCTGGCTGCACCGTGCCTCCTGATGCCCTGATTTGTGGCCATTGGGGAGCGGGGCTGTGAGCTGATCCTTCAGGTTGGCAAAAAGCTGGCAGTGACAGAACTTCCTAAGGGCTCAGAAAGGGCTTTGATGGTGTGAGACGAGGTGCTGTCCCCTGGTGGCTAAAATGGAGAACTGTAAGGCTTGCAAGGGCAGGTAGGACCCTGGAGCATGGGATCGGGCCAGAGGTGGTTGTTTCTTGGTGCTTGGGTTTGAAACAAAGGAGAAAGGTGGTGCGGGTGCTTTGAGTCCTGCCAGCTACTCTGGTAGCATCACTTGGAGCACTGTCCCTCGCTTTCTGTGCCCCAGCCATCGACCTCGTCTAGCGTTTCTAAACTGTCCTTCTGCCTCTTGGACTGTGCCTTCCAACTGCTCTAGATTACTATGCTCTCTCCATAGCTCAGAGATCTCAGTCCTCCTTTTTCTTCTTCCTGGGGTCTCTACCCACGGCCTTTGCACTGAGCTACCTCCCAAGCCCTAATCTCTTTGAAAAAAAAAAATTAACTTGAGATAGAGTCTCATGAAGCTGCTGTCTAGGCTGCACTTGAACTTTCGAACCTCAGGTCTCAGCATCCCAGACATGTCCTGTATTCATCTCCTCTTCAGCGCCTGCTCAGCTGGAAATGTGTGATCTTCAGTGTGTGTTGTGGTGTTCAAAGTCCGGCGCTGCACTAGATTCACCCTCTGGGAGGGCAGACCTGCTTGCTCTTGTTTTCCCTGCGTTCCCCTGCGGCTGCTCAGCAGCACTCAGTAAACACTAAAATTTATAAAGTTTTCTTTGCCTCCCTCAAAGCAAGACGCTCTTGCTGTTCTGCAATAGCTTGCTGACTGAAGCCTCTGGCCGTGCTAGCAGCCCATGGGCAGTACAGAGGGAACCACGGAGCGACTGTGACAGGGTGGGGGCGGGGGACAGGTGGCCTGTGGTCAGAGCCGGCCCTTCCTGCCCCCTCTCTGGGTGAGTCTATGCCTGCTTGTCTTACGAAGTGCTGGATTTAGATGGCTGGCGCTCTACTTCGGTGGGGTGGCCCGGGAGTGCGGAGGGGCACAGCCAAGGCAGAGAGCGCTTCCGTGTACCACACTTTTCCCTCACGTGGCAGGAAGAGATGCAGGGAGGAAAGGAAGGAAGGAGGGAAGCAGATCCCCTGTTTTCCTCTCGAGGACCAACCGGCTTTGGCAATGCTTCGCTGCAGAAGGACCACTAGAGGACAGCAGCAGTCAGGACAAAAACACACTGGACCAGCAGGATCCTGAATTGCTGGGTTGACAAGAGGATAGTGGAAGGGGAAAAACCGATGTTAGCACTACTGAAAAGAAAACAAAAGGTTGTTTTCTCATCTCTTGGGGACCACATGGAAGGAGATATGTGGATAGTGAGATTGGAATTAGAATTTTTTTTTGGAATTAGATTTAAAGAATTTCCAGAACACAAACTTTGCTAAGTAGAGATTTTATGCAGTATATTTTTGGGGTGGGGGGCTGTTAAACTACATCTGCTCAAATAGAAGGGGCAAAATGAAAAGGAGAGTAGGTAACAAGAGCCTGGATAGTTCAAAGCCTGGGCGACTTCACCAGGTGCCCTAAGGCAACCCTGGGTGTGGCCGGCGGTAATGATGCCACCCCGCAGCTGCAGGTGTACAATACTTTATTGGTCAGGCTGGCTACCACGCATGCTTCTCCCATAACATCCTGTGTAGAGGCACGATGGTGTCCACAGGCAGATGCTGTCTGAGGAGCCCAGGGCAGGGGCCGGGGGCAGCCTCACCCCTCCAGTCAGAGCTCCCTGTTGAAATGAGCTGGTTTGGCTTTTGTAGATTGCAGGGTCTGGAGCCAAGAACAGCCCGAGGGTTCCCCCCTTCCCTTTACAGGAAGCCGCTCCCAAGCAGACACAGGATCAGGATGTCATGGGCTTCGGCACAGATGTGGTGCGGCTGACCCCTCAGCTGGTCTTCCCCTCTGGCTCCCAGGCCGATGGCTCATCCCTTTGTCCCCAAAGGGGTGAGCGGACAGCACTGCCTTACAGAAGCTGGAAGAGTTCACTGCTCTCCAGCCAAGCGATAAAGCAAAGGCATCTTCAAAAATAGAGCATAGCTCAGAGATACAAAAGCAGGGTGGTGAGATCTGGCTGCCTGGCCTGGGCTTTTCAGACCTCAGGGAGTGTCTTCAGCAGAGACCCTGGAGCCGGTCTCAGGACAATCCCGTTAATACAGATCAGTCACATCCTCTTCCTTTGAGCTCTCCTGGGTCCTGGGCTGGTTGGAATCTGTCCTTACCATTGGTACATAAAACTCTCTTGGGGCAAAAAAAAAAAAAAAAAAAAAAAAGAGGGCAAACTAGCTCTCTCAGGTTTTGGAGTACACATGGCCTCCACCATCGAGGAGAAAGACCCAGGTTGGGGATGCAGAGCGTTGGGCAAGAAGGAAACTACTCAGCCTGTCCCTCCAGTTTAGCTAACTTGAAGTGCTCTGACAGCCACTGGGGGTGCTGGTGATCTTTAAGTCTGTCTTTTCTCCCTTTGAAATCTGATCCATCTTTCAGGAGCTCCCCAGCTAATATCTAGTCCCCCAAATTTAGCTAAGCCTGGCCATTAATATTGTCATGATTTCCAATGTGGTGGCTTTCAAAAGGTGAGGTTTAGGGGGGTGGAATGGAGACTCTCAATATCTTCTTAGTCTCAGACAAAAGTGTGAGTTCTCTCCACGGGGGTGGGGGGCTGCGAGTGGGGCCTCCTGACTCTGCTGAAGGCACAGAAGGGGCGTCCCCGCAGAAGGGCGGGTGGACGAGGCAGACTGAGAAGGAGGTGGCTCAGCAAGGGGTATACTCTAAGGAGCAAGGAAGGGGAGCTCGCTGCACGGTCAGCCCAGCACATGCAGAGAACCAGAGATTGCTTGAAAGGGTGGTTAGGTGCTGCTGCCCAGGGAATGCTGAGAGCTCCCTGACGCCGGACCATCAGGGAGAGCAGAAAGTAGTGAGATTTCTGGGATCAGGGCTTCCAGGGAGGACTCCTCTGCCGCTACTTATGTCCTCTGGGGAACAGAGAGCGTCTGCCTCATTCCTAGGTAGAAGGCCACAGAGCCCTGTTGCCACCTCACCCCACCTATGGGAAGAGAGGAGCCCATGGACTTGGTTGTCCCAGACCTTCCAACAAAAGCCAAACCAAACCATCAAGCCAAATGCAGGGGATGGCAGGGGCCCGCTGTGAGGGCCGCTCAGATCTCAATGAGGCTGGCGAGGCGCAGGCAGAGGGGGGCATCGACAGGCATCGCGCTGCGCTGGATCTCATTCCCGTCCAGGCGCAGCACCTGCAGCTTGGAGAAGTTCATGACGTCCACCACGGTGCAGAAGCTGCTGATGGAGAACTCTGCGGGGACGAGAGAGCAGGTTGGGAGGAGCCAGATCAGGGGGCGGGTACCAGTGAGCGGGCAGCAGAGCTGCTTCTAAAGACTTCTGTTGTGAGGGTGGAGCTGAGGGAGGGGTGGGAAGATGTTTCCTGGGATGGGAGTCTTTGACAGGCACCGCTAAGGGACAGCACTAGGGAAGCGGGGAAGGAGGACATTGGCTTCTGCTTCTGCACCAGCGCCACTTTATCCATCCCCATCTGTGTACGTTGAGTTGTTTGGATGTCCTTGAGTGTCCTTCCTTCCAGGGCTTGGATTTTTTTTCCCATCTGTGGGCAGCAGGGGGAAGCAGAGGGCAGCCCAAGCCCAGAAGCAGCCTCTGTGCCCTTGATTGCTGTTGGCCAGGGGGTTTTTGCAGCATGGTTATGAGAAGGAAGGCTGAGGGGAAGAAAAGGCTTAAGTTTCGAAAGTCTCCTGCTCTTTGCAGATAGAGAAAGAGGCAGGAAATTAAAGAGAGAAATCCTAGGCTGAGAGACAGCAGTTACGAGTTTTGAGAAGCCCACACACTGCTTTGCGGTCTCCGCAGTGCCCCTTCCCGAAGCCACGCTCTAGGGCTAAAGTGGGCTACACACTCTGAGCTATTGGCCGCGCTGGACCTAATGAGTCAAATACATAACCCCCTGCATTTAACACGATTGTAGTCAACCTGTTTTTTTTAAATTTCAAGAGAAGACCCTGTCATAGAGGATGGTCCCTGTGCCACGTCACAGATGCCCCAATTCTGTCTGCTTTCCATGTGGATCCTTCCATACTCCTTGCTCTGGTTGTCCTCTGAACAAACCAGTTTTCCCTCGATGTCCTCTTGGACAAACCACCCACCTCCATCTCCAGGCTACCTAGTCAGCAATGAAAGGGGAAAAACAGGACCTGAATCAAAGCTCCACCAGGGCCTGAGAAGTTTCCACCCAAAGCCGCAGGGGCCTCGGGCTCCCAGGAACATAGTGCTTGAAGGCTCCACAAAGGGCCGTCGCAGCAGCCCTGGTGAGGCTGGAGACAGAGGAGGATGGGCGCTGTCACGTGGTGCAGATCTGAGCTGGGGCTTGCTTTTGTCCCATCAGAGGTGTCCTTAAACTGCAGAGGAAGTGAGGGGAGGGAAGCTTTTCCAACCCTTCCCAGCACAGCCTGGGAGCTCATCCTGGAGGAGGTCAGGAGAATGAAGGTGAGGGTTCTGAGGAGGACAGTGTGCAGACGTGTCGAGGAGTGTTGAAATCAGCATCAACTATTGCTCTCAGAGCCCTTCAAGGACTGCCCTGTTGAGGTGGTGGGTCTACGCCAGATTATCTTGTATTGAAAATGTCAGACAAAAAAAAATCATCTAGGTCCAAAGAGTAATCCACACTGCAGTGAGCTCTGGGGAGACTGGAGAAGGGGAAGAGGGCTGGACGCTTTGGGATGCTTCTCCTCTGGCTCCAGGGAGAGGATTCCATTGGCAGAGCCCGCATTCAGTAGCTGTGTGGGTCTGTGTGGTCCATAGACAGGGCAGGGTCTGAGTACTCCTTCCACTTTAACCTGGAGCTAGGCTGGGGGCCCAGGGGTGCATCTCTCTCAGCGGGAGTCCTCACACTGTCTGCTCAAGCCCTGGGTCCCAGCTACAGATTCCTAAATATAGGACATGCTTGTGGAGAGCTAGACGGTGCATACAGATGCCGCCCCACTTGCGGCACAGGGAGCTCCCCCAACCCTGCTCTCTCCCTCAAGCCCGTGAATAGCACAGGGCTTCTGTGTGGAACCTCTGGCTAGGCTGACATTTTCCAGTCCAGATGAAATACTGACATAAGTCTTTCCAAATTCCTCCTGGAATACCCGCCCTGTTCCACTAGATCCCAAGGCTTCCAAATAACATTCCATGCTCTGTTCCCTCGCTGATGCCACGCTGGAAAAACTGCAGGAGAGGCTGGCAGAAAGTGGGAGGGAGGAGAGGGTCCTGTCTTATTTCCCTGCTTGCCTGAGCTCTCCCTCAGAGGGCTACTTCCATCCCTACCCTAAATCCCTGGATACAGGAAGACATCTCTCACATCTACCCCAAAAAGAGGAGCCTGGGAAACCATTTTCCTTCTGGGGTCTCTTCCCTACTCTCAGGGCGCTTGGCTTCAGGTCTCTCTATATTCATAACAGGAACATAGGTTCTATACTGTAATTGGGTGACCTTGAGAGATGGCTTTTCGTCCTCTGTGCCTCAGTTTCCCCAACTTGACAATGCAAACAACAATGAAATTGGTGCTTGTCAACCTCCAAATGGCAATGGAGAGAAAAGCTGACATGTATTAGTTTTTAGATTATGTGCTAATTTAAAAACTGGGCCATGAACTTTGCACATATTAACTTAGTTGCTTAAGAAAGGGAAGGCATTGGAATTACTTTGCTTAAAGAAAACATTGGGGAAGAGAATAAATGATAGGGGGTTAGGCTGCAATGGTGCACAGAGATTGTGGTAGACACTGAAAATTTTCATGTTGCTGATTGGAGGACTTTCTTACAGGCCTTTGGGTTGCTTTGTTAAGTAATTTTGCCTCTGACACACTCTTGGGAGACAGGGGCAGCCTCATGTTTGAGCAGCAAGCCATGGTGCTGCAGGAGGGCAGGCAGCTGATGAGATGGGGACTAAGTCTCCCACCCCGCCTGCCCCATGCCATAGCTGGCCACTAGCCGAAGGGTTCTTCCCTGGATGACCACTCTTTGCTGTCCCATTTTCATGGTCAGGCTTGGAGGAGGCACAGTGTGGCACCTTTGCTGTGACGAAGCGCCAGGACAGCAGGTGAGTGACGGTGCCTGCCAGGGAGATGAGGAAAGGCCCACGCTTGCTGCCTGGGACATCCTCAGGGTGGCTTGAAGCACCCTTCAGCCTCACCCTGGGAGTGCAAAGACCCCAAAGACAGACAGACAGGCTTTAAATAACCCCTCTGGAATGTCCATGTCAGTGGTGCCTCATTCTTCAACCCACACAACCAGGCAGAAGGCTCTGTACCTTGCCTGCAGGGCTGTCCTGAGAGGCTGGCTTCTCACTCCTCCAAGGGGGTCCAGTCCTAACATCTTGCTAAACGACTGACCTGACCCTGTCGACTGACTGATGTGTTTCCTGAGCCCTGAGGAGAAGTGGCCTGTCTCTCCCTGAGTCTTTCTCAGCAAGCCCTACTTCAAAGCCTTCTGCAAGCGGGTCATTAACAGTGTCCCCTCCCAGAGAAGCAGCGTGGGGGGGGGGGTAGGGGACAGGGTGGCTATTCCCTGGCTCAGGATCTTCCAGCTGAGATTAAGACATCAGAAGCCCTGTGAGAGCTGAGAGAAGGGGGCTGAATAGCCATGAGGTCATTCCACCAGTAATGCCCTTTTAGTTCTCTGAGTCAGAAAACCAGAGAGGCAACCCTTTGGTTGTTTTAGGGGTTTTGAAGGAAGTGCTTATAACATAAGCAGCCCCTCGTCCTTCCCCAAACCACCCCAGGTCTCCTTGGGCCTCAGGGAGGACCTCTGCCCTGCCACCAGGGGCTACCCGGACTCCAGGCAGAGCTGACCAGAACAAACACCACATGCACTCTGATGGGGAGAGCATTCTTCCCACCAGCTGTTACGTCTTAAAAACAAATAAACACCAAAACACAAGACTGTAGAGCCAAAGGGAGTCAGTCTTAGGGAAACAAGCCCCTGTCCAGGTGGGGAGGAAGCACTGAGGCTACCTCACGGCCAGGGTCGGGAGGGGCCCACAGGAGCCTTCTCTTCTTTCTCCCTCCACTCCCCTCCCTTCCCCTCCCTTCTTCCTTTCCTCCTCCCTCCCTCCCTCCTTGGCACTGGGGATTGAACCCAAGGCCTTTGTACTAAACTACATCCCAAGTCCTTTTATTTAATTTCTTTTTGCTTTTTTCTTTCAGGGCAGGCTCTCCCCTAGTCACTAAGTTGCCCAAGGTGGCCCTGAGCTGTCAGCCCACCTGCCTCAACTTCCAAGAATGCAAGGGAGGACAAATGTGCCTGGCTCCTTCTCTGGAAATTGTCCCCTCCCAACTCAACCTGACCTCTTCTCTCACTCTTGTGTCCCTGGCTGTCCCCACAGGTGAACCCTTCTAGGTCCCTTGTTGCAGAATGACTCTCAGGTAGGGAGGCCTGCCTCCCCAGCCTTGGCCCACTTAGCTCTCCACCCTAGAAGGAAACATTCCTCTCCTGGTCTTCTGAGCCAGCCCCCTCCCCAGTGAGCTTTCTCAGCACTGTTGGGATAAACACATGCTATGCTGCGCCTGTTGGTCAAGGCTATGGCTTTGGTTGTCCAGTTGTTTCTTTTCTTGTTTTTCAGTATTAAGGATTGTACTCAGAGCCTTGCACTGAGGTATTCACAAGCCCTTTTAAAATTCAAATTTTAGTTCAATAGCTTATTTATTTACTGGTAGTAGGGATTGAGCCCAGGGCCTTTTCACTGAGCTATAAATCTCCAGCCCTTTAAAAAAATCATTTTATTTTAAGCCAGGGTCTCATTAAATTGCTAAATTGCTCACCAGGCTGGGCTTGAAGTTGCAATCCTCCTGCCTCAGCCTCCCAAGTGCTGAGATTACAGGTGTATGCCACCACGCCCGGCCCTTTTTTATTTTCAGGTTTTGAGACAGGGGCTCACTAGTTTGCCCAGGCTGGTCTTGAACTTGTGATACTCCTGCATCCTGTGTAGCTGGAATTAAAAGTGTGCATCACTGGGCCACACTGATGGCTTCCTGTGGTTCCCTCTGCCTCTCCCTTTCCGTTTTGCCACTAGGACTCAGGAAACACCAGCCAGCCCCGCCCCTCCGCCCAGGCTCACCGTTAATCCTATTGCCTTGGAGGTAGAGGTTCTCCAGGTTGGTGTTGACAGGGGGGATCTTCTGCAGCTGGTTGTAGGACAGATCGAGCTCCAGAAGGCTACTGGCATTGAAGCTGTTGGTGGCCAGACCATTGTTGGTGAGACTGTTGTGCGACAGCCGCACATACAGCAGCTTGGGTGAGCCCCGGAAATAGCTGTCGGGAACGGTGTAGACGTTGTTGTGCTCTAGGTAGAGCTGCTCAAGGGCCACGGGCAGCCCGTCAGGCACCCTCCGGAGGTGGTTGTAGCTCAGGTCCAGCAAGATCAGGGAGCGGAGGCCCCTCATGGAGCTGCCCACCTCTTGGATCTCGTTGTGGTGCAGGTACAAGGCTGTGAGGTTCTCTAGCCCTTCCAGAGCATTGTTGGGGACCCTCGAGATCTGGTTGTGGTCGAGGTGGAGCTCTCGCAGGGAGCGAGGCAGGGGGCCGGGCATCCGAGTCAGGTTGTTGTGATCCAAGTACAGCCTCTCCAGGTGCCTCAGCTTCGAGAACACCTTCCTGCCCACCTTGTCACTGGTGATCTGGTTGCCATGGAGCGCGACCCACAGCAGCCCTGTGGCATTGTCGAAGACGCCTTCCTGGATGGAGGTGATCTGGTTGTTCTGGAAGTAGACGTACTTCATGCGGGAGGGGACGAAGGGCAGGTACTTGAGGTTGCGGTTATCACAGTACATGGCCGTGGGGAAGTTGGGGGGACAGTCGCACTCCTGGGGACAGTCACGGGGCTCTGGTGGGGGCAGGGAGCCATAAGCATAAGCTGGCCCTTCCTCTACTCCATATGGGTAAGGCTCCGAGGGCTCATATGGGTATGGGTAAGGGTCATAGGGGTCGTAGTAGGTAGACTGCTGGCTGCGGAGGTACTGGAACCACCAGTGAGGGTCGTCATCGTACTGGGCCCAGGAGAGGGAGCAAAGCCCTGCCAGCAGCAGGAGGGACAGCCGCTGCATTCTGTCTCTGCAGGGAGGGAAAGGGGACAGAGCAGGTGGGCATGAATGAGACCATGGGAGGACAGTGAGGCGGGGTAGGCAGGACACACACAGGCTCAGCTGTGCAGGGCTCACCCCCTTCTGTGCTCTGCTCGCTTGGTGCTGCTTGACCCTGGCTGACTGGGGTGACCTAAGCATGTGTGGCAGAGTCACAGAGACAATCTGAGAGATCAAGAGGAACTTGAGTGGGAGGGGGTGCATTTTTTGGAAGGGCTGCTGCACAGGTTGGGAAGCCCAGAACACTCCCTGTGTGTGCGTGTGGGCTGTATGTACGTAACACGTAGGTGCATCTGTGTGCGTGTGTGTGGAGGGCTTAGTGGTGGAGGTAGGCTGCTCTCAAGCTTGAATCCATTCCCATCCAGTTCACACTCCCAGAGAAGTAACATTTTCTAGGAGACCAGGAAAAATCCAACTGGCTCTTGCTGTACCGCTGTCTGGGAAACCTCCTGAAATGGCTGCAGACATCAAAGGGGAAGCCTGAACGACTTCTGGGAGACCTTGTGGTCTCTTGGGCAGGCTGTGGGCGTCTGGCCCTGGTGTCTGGGGAGGGGCATGGTCCCTCAGCAGCCACCACAGGCCTGGGCTACCTTCCAAAGAGCCATTGTCTGTAACAGTCGGCTGGGTAAGAAGACTGGTTAGCAGCATCTAGCTGCAAATACCTCCTGGTCTCCATGGGGCAGCTACAGATCCTCTTAGACTGGAGCTGCTGGCACCGGGTGGGTGCTTGCCTCCAGTGGGCACCAAGGGTGTGGGGTTTGGGCCATTTCATGCCTCTCTCTTCTGTGGGACCCAGTGATCAGTTAGTGATCTCCCTGCTAAGTGGGAGCCACCAGGAGCCCAGAGAAATGAACAGGGTCACTGAACGTCTGAGTAGAAGTGAGAAGTGGGGTGGGGTTCCCCAAGGGAAAGTGCTTCAGGGTGGTGTTCTCCTCTTTCGTCCCGAGCTGCCTCCTCCACTGGATGGTGCCTCCTGTCCCAGGCTCTGTGTCTAGGGCACCCTTTGCTAGGCAGCCTCTTGCTGTAGACTTCGCAAAGCTAGAAGATGAGGACAGCAGGCTGGGGACCAATGTGAGGTTAGGGCTGCCTGAGAAGCTGAAGGTAGGGGAGATGAGGAAGCAGGGGCAGCGCACACAGTGCTGGGACCCTAATCCAGTTACGTGGAGCAGTTCTACTGCCAAGCCCCTGTAGGCAGTGGGAATTTTCCCGTGTGTCACCCTGGGATAGAAAAAGCTTAAAATATTTGTGGCCTGGAATTGTGACATGTACCTCTAACACTGTCATTGCGTCTTGCCAATATTGGCTCCTAGGGACAGGAAAAAGGCAGGTGTATAAAAGCAACCTCAATCCAATGAGCCGATGAGATGGTCCCTGAGGGTGACATTCCATTCAGTCAGTCACCTCTAGCCCTCATCCCTTCCTCTCTGTCCTCTGTCCCTCTCATTCCCTTAAGCCTGCTTCATCTTGTCAGCTCCTGGGTTGCTGGGAAGTACGCACTCTGGCCTACCTTGGGACAGCCACAGGCCTCAGACAAAGAGCTACAGTGTTTCTGAGAGGCAACCCAACTGCCCACTGCCTGGGCATGCTGGCTGGTCACTGGCTGTGGCCAGGAGGGAAGAAGGATGGAGCGGCCCATTGCCAAAAGTACATTTTTTCCGTGTTCAGCCCTGGGCTGCTGCAGGACTTTGGTGGCTGTCTGGAGGGCTGGCACAGTGGGCCTCTGTCTCCATTTCTCCTTCCAGACTGGGCACCTTGGCAGACAAGAGCCACCTTCCTGAGACCCCACTTCCCTGGGGCTGCACACCCCGCCACTTCAGCCTCTCTTTAGGGCTATGGCCGCTGCAAGAGTTGGGAGGGTAGCGTGTGCCTGTCCTCACCCCACTCCATCTCGAAGCCTTGCTGTTTCAGGGCTGTATATGCCTCAGTTGTCTCCCAGCCGACTAGAGACCATGCTAGCCTGAGCTTAGAGTGCGAATGATGCAAAGCTCCAGCCCTGGCATTTGCAAGCCTCTGCGGCCATGCCATGTGTCCACTCTAGGGGAGTCCTCTTCTCCCACCCAGAGCCCAGCGGGTCAAACTAGAGGCCACCCCTACCTGGGTGAGACCCCCCTCAATGCACAGCTCCCTGGCCCCAGCCAATGCTTGACTTTTCTCTTTATTCTCTCCTTTTACCCCAGGAAAACACACACATGCTGCATAAAACTTGCACACACACACACACAGCATTTAGGCACCACAACCCCTGTCTAAGAGAGCTTCCAGGAGCACTCAGAGTACACAGACTACTCCAAAGTGTCCCAAGAAGCTTCTGTAGATATCGGGTCCCTTGCTTTTCCATGTCTGGAAATTGGAGGCCACCCACACCCACTAAGAGGCTGTAGGAGAAAGGTAGCCACCAGGACCACTCCTCCCAGTCCCCTACCTCTCTCCACCAACCCTGGAGTCTTGGTAAGAAGGAGGGGGGAGGCCTTCTCCCTGCCTGACCCTCTCCCCACGCCTAACCCTTTCCTTTCTTTTATGAATCACAAGGGGGAAAATCCCAAAGTAAAACAACTGAACTTACCTCAAGTTGAACCTTTCAGAGAGTGACCACGTCCCTGTCTGGCCTCCTCGGGTAGGAGGACGTATGAGAGAGACAGAGAGAGAGTGAGAGACACAGAGAGAGAGTGCCTACTGAGAGTGTACGCCTCAGTGCCAGGCCAAGGCCCGCCCCCGAATTCCTAATCAAATATAGTGCAGAGAGGGGATGAGACCAAGACCAGACCGGGCTTTTTCAGCTCCTCTGCAGGGGAGGAGCCCACACTCCTCCTCGCAAAATCCTTCCCTCTTCGCCACGCTATAAAAACCACCTTCTTTCCACTCCCTTATCTTCCCTGAAGCTTTGGCAGTTCTGGGTCTTCCTGCTGAATGAGTTAGTGGCGCCCTTGAAGTTATTTGCAGTCCTGATGAAGTGCCTGCACTTCTCATTAAGCCCACAGAGGCAGATGCCGGCTGGGGAGGGCCAGGTTTAGGAAGAAACCTCTTAACCCCTTCAGCAACCCCAGTCCCCTCACCCCCCCCCCCCCCGTGCTCGCCCTTCTTGACTCAAGCGCCCCCTGCCGGCAGGTGATAGAGTTGTGGCTAACAGGACGCGAGGGAGGAGACACAGGCTCTGGTTGGGTTGTATTTCTGCCCAGTGAGAGCATTGTGGACTACGGCCCCGCCCTCGCCCCTTCTTCCTGCTCCCACCTTCAGAACAAAAGACATGGCAAGGAGTGTAACATTTGTTCATCACTTACTATCTGCTAGCACCAAGCACTGTCTCTCAACCCTTGCAACCATTTTACAGCTATGAATACTTGCCAGTTGGGTTGAATGGAGAAGGGTAAGATATAAGATGGGTGAAGCACCTGCCTGGCTGGTACCCACTTCAGGAGAGACAGAGTGAGAGGCAGAGTCTCTGAGCCAGGGGAAGATAGGGTCAGAGAAATGGGCAAGGGCAAAACCATGGAGGGACGTTTATGGAAATGATTTGGTTCTTATTCGAAATATTTAGCAACTGTACGTTTTATGGAGGTGAAACTATAGGATCTGATTTACACTTTAGAAGGCCGGTGAGGAGCACTGCTATGTGGAGGAGAGGAGCAGAGTGGAAGCAGATGCTGTAGCCCAGACTCCAGGGGAGACAGGGGCAGGTCCTGCTGGCTCAGAGGAAAAGAGGCAACAGATTGTGGATGGAGCCGAGAAGTCTTGCAGATCAGATTCAGGGGATTGAGTAAAGTCAAGATAACTCCTAGGATTTTAATTGGAGCAACTGAGTGAGTTGTGGTACCATTTCCTGATAAAAGAAGGGATGGAGAGGAACAGAGTTGGTTGGAAAAAAAATTGAAGTTCTACTTTGGATGTGCTGGGTTGCAGATACTGTGAGGCTTTCTGGTAGAGATGTGTGCAGGCAGCTGGGCATAAATAAGAACCTGAGCTTGGAATTGAGGAGCTGGGAGAAGACATCTGAGAGCCACTAGGATGTGGATCAGGTAGACTCTCAGTGGCTTAGATGACCCATGTGTCCTATACACTCTTTTCTGAAGTGACTCTCTTGTGTCAACATCCAAGGAAAGACTCCTTGCATTTAAAAATACCCATTGAGAAGCCCTTGGATGATTTATTTGGGTGTGGAGAATGTAGAAGTGTCGAGGCAGATGGGACTTGTGGATTCTGCACAGGTTGGAGCTGTGATGTCATGTGTAGCCAGAGGGGCTTGTCAAGGACCCCTTCTCTCAGAGTGTAAGAAAAGTTGAGAAAGCAAAGCACTGACTGAGCTCTTGCTGAACACGTGCTACAAACTCGGTGGGTTACTTTTCTCATGTAAAGATCATAGTAGTTATTCTGTGCTGGAAACGGGGGCTTGAAGATAGAGAGTGACAAGCTGGTGATGGGTAGAGAGGAGTTGAACCTACGTGTCTCAAAGCCCACTTTCCTGCAACTTGAGGCCAGAAGATCAGGGGACTGGAGGAAGCAAGGATCAAGATGACACACAACTAATTAGGCAGCTTGATCAGCTTGAATGCCGTGGCAGATGGTTGGGAAGATGAGAGGGGGCTGGAATACCAGGGTTCTGTCCCTGACCCTACATATATTTAATTGCAGTTTAATGAAGAAGAGCATCTCTTCTCTGCCAAGCACAGTCCGAAGTGCCGATGATACAAAGAAGCTTCGATATAATGTCTGCTCATAACACAGCAGAGGCACACGGGGCAGGAGAAGCGAAGCGAATGGCTTTAACGTGAAAACATTATGAATAAAGAATAGGTAATTCTCTGATCATTTTTTAATCCAGAGGGCAGGTCACTTTTCAGTGGAGGACACTGGTGTTGGCAACCAGGTTTGCTTGGCACATCTTAGATGGGCTTAGACAGCCCAGGCAAATCTAACGAGTACAGATGCTTATGTTTTAAATTTCCAGCATGCTGACTAATATTGCATTTACTAACAGTGAAAGCCAATAGCGTCTGGGGACCAAATTTTGGCAGAGATCCTTTCCAACCAATCCCTGCCTCAACAGGCAGGGATTCCATGGGGCTTGTCCTTTTCTAAAGCAGTGGAGTTCACACCTGGCCTTCTCTCACCCCTGCCCTTGCAAGGGCGCCTGGAAGGAAGACAAGAGGGAGTAACTGGGACCATCTCAGGAGGTAGAGTTTCAGGGACACATCCACTGTCAAGAATTCCCTATGCTGGCCTGTAAAGGGGGTTCTGACCTCCATTTTGACTATTCCTGCTGTTGCCTGGGTTCCAGAGCCTAGAGTTTTGCTTACAGGTGAGAAGCCAATCATGGGACACTGATGTCCTAAGATTTCTGAAGGGGACCATTTGGGAAGGAGATCCATTAGGGACATAGGCTTCTAGAAGTGGCAAGCCAGAATTGCCCAGTCACCAGAATGCAGGCAACCTAAAGGAAGCAGCTGTGTTATTCATTTCTGTAGCCCTGTTCCCAGCTGGGCATAGAATGGCTGGCACCTAGGGGGCAATCAGCAGAAAGTTATGAAATAAATTATATCTTTGGCTCCTACAGTCGCTCTTTCTTCAAATCCACCCTGTATGGAGTAACCACCACCAGCCAGGCCAGGAAATCTCTCAGACCTTTAGGCCAATTAGATTTTCCAGACGTTCAAGCCCTAGTTATTTCTTTCCTCTCCAGAAAAGTGCAGGTTAAACCACAGCCATCAGGCACAACTGATTGCCTCTGACACATGACCCACCCTGCCTGGGAGGACCAAAGTGTCTTCTGACTCAAATTCCCACCAACCAAGACACAGTGACCAACACTTTCCTCTTCACCGTCTACATGACAGGACCTGACGACCCCTGTGTTGACACAGCCTTGTATCCCAGACATCCAGGGACAAGAGTTAAGGCTGAAAATTCACCCAAACAGAATTCTTGAACTGGATCTAAGAGGTCAGTAGAAAGATGATCATAGTTATACAACCCAGGCCTGTCTGGAAAACTCTTGACAACAGAGAGGGATATTTAACTGGTCTGATATTTCGATGGAAAGTCTTGCCTATGCTGTCACCCAAAAATGGTGTCCCAAAGTTTCCAAGAGAGATGTTTTTGCTACCCCTTGGCGCCTAGAGCTCATTAGATGTTCTCACTATGAAAAATCTCTTTCCAGAAGAGATGAGCACCATAAAGATGTTGGAATTGGGGAAAAGACTTGTTTTCTTTCACTTATGAAAGGAGAAAGGCTTGCATTTCAGTCTTAGGAGATGTACTGAGAGCAGAAGAGTTTTCTCACAATATGTATAAAACAGAACTGCATTTCTTTTTTAATAGACAGCATCTCTTATTTTTATTGTGTGCTTACAGCATGCTTGATATTGTGACACAATGATGACAAGATGGCTTCCAGATCACCTTCTACAAAGTAGGAGTGCGCCTGAGTCAGAAAAGGGAAGAGAGTTGAGTAAGGAAGGAGGCAGAAGGGATAACTGACAACCTGAAACTTGGAGGTTTATCATCTGGTGACCTACAATATGACAATGTATTTTTTATGCAAATGAGCTGAGAACTAATGGTGTCCCTCAGACTGCTCTGTGGCTATGAGAAGCACTCAGTGGCATGACAGACCAGTTCCCAGGATGCTGCCTGAGAAATTAAGCAGATACAGGTGAGGCGAGGCCCAGACATTAGCGCTAATATGCCAGGTACCACTCCTGAGAGTCTCACCACAAGTAGAAACAATACAGCTGAACAATGAAGGCTAGAAAGCCTTGCTCATTTGTTCAAGACTGCATAGCAATGAAATGGCAGGGCTCAGTTTCTAAATTTAAGTCAGCCTGCTTCTAGAGTCTGAGCTCCAAACTACTATGCTATAGATAGAAGTTTCAGTGTAAATGAGAAAGCAAGCTTTTGGACATAGAAATATGTCCAAACTCCAGCCCTCCCACTTATTTTGTCTGTGACTTTGAGCTGGTTGCTTAGGTATCAGTAAGACTCAGCATCCTCGTTATCACATGGTGATGACCACCTTTCCCCCATGAGTTGCTGTGAGGACTAAGTAAGGTACAGAATATGGGCTTCTAGTGGGGCGTCTACCAAGAGGTGGCCCTGAACGAATGGCGGCCTCTGGTGGTTGTTTTAGAAGAGTAGAAGTTCCCTGAGGAGGGAGGCAACTGCCATGGTGCCTCTACTCATGGCATATGCTCCACCTTTTGTTAATGTTAGTGGAGTAAATGAGAGGTGGAGACGTTGGATTTAACTAAGTGATAGTCAACTACTTTGGTAGTTTAGACCAATCTTAGAGAAGCCAGCCGAGCATAGAGGTGAGACCTTCAGTGGCTGAAACCGTCAAATCCCCCAATATAGGCAAGAGCGTTGAGTGCAGGGCCAGTGTAGAACTCTCTACAGACGTGGACACATGACTTCTCTAGAGAGACAGGAAATGATCTTACCTACCTAGAGGGCCAAGGAAAAGATCAAGATCCAAGAGCCAAGTACAGAGCAGTTGAGGAGAGGAGATGCCCTGTTTCTTCTCAGCTGGAGTTTAAGGATCAAGATCAAGGCTGGAGAGGCAGCACCATGGTGGAGAGCACTTGCCTAGCACCGCCAAAATCAGGGGAGAAGGTAGACCAAGAATACCTACTAAGGAGCAGCACCAGTTGAATCCCCAGGGACTAAGGAAGGCAAGAAGTTAGTTCCCACCTGAAGATGGGCTTAACATTCTTCCAGGTGAGAACTGGTGACATTTTCAGGGGTCTCATCCAAAGGCCTGGGCACTTGTATTTAACTCCACTGGAGTTCCACAGAGACCTGGAATAATGACTCCTGGTAATGTGTGAGAGTCCCTAGACCTTTAGTTTCTTCAACTCTCTGCTTACGTCAGTATGGAGCCTAGTAAAGTGACAGTTAAAAGAAGGAGCATGCCTTTAAGGAGGAGGGTGGGATGTGCTTAGGAAAGGCAATA